TTTCCTTTCAGTCTTACAGAAACTGAAACCCTAAGGCAGAAGTACTGTCAATCACTTGTTCCTACTGGACCATCACCTTAGTACATAAGTAAAAATTGAATCTGTCAACATTCCTGTGGGCATTATGGCTCTGCCTTCTAGCAAAGGCCCCAGTGAGCTGACAAATCCTGAGCTGAACCCATTAAAAAGCTGTCTGTCAAGCCACTCATGCTGTAATAATACCTCCTTATTACAAGCTTAAACACAAAAATTTAGCCTACAGCTGACATCATTTTCTTCCTCCTGGGTATAAGGAACCCCCTTCCTGCCATACAGCAGTAAGGCCTCACTCATGGACAGCTGTATTACGAAGCATTTCCACTGGAACACATGGAGATTTAGCAGTCACCAGTTTTTAGGACAGGGTTTTATGGTACTCAAATGGAAATACACCACGGTAGTCCCTGTGCAGCCCTGTCTGCTGCGGCACCTGACACTGGCTGCTGCTGCTTCACAAGGCAGGCATGAAAAGGAAGAAGGTAATCTATCACCAGAGCCCTTCTTCAAGTGTTATGTAAAATGCATTAAATGCACAAGGAAATTTATATTCATAAAAATGTAAACATTACAAAGACATGGTTATAGATAACATTTATGTCACACTAGATGACTCTGCTCATCTCTCCCAACTTGTTAAGAACGTGGTCACAGCCTTCTTGATGAAACCATAATTACTAACTGACTGGTAAGTTACTTTACTGATTTTACCTTTTTAGGTATTTTTAACAGAATCATTGACTGGTTTGAATCGAAGTGCATGTCTTTGTAAGCACTAGCAGAAGCAGCAGAACAATAAGCGCAAAAGAGGATCTGTATGCCACAGGGCACTGTCCCCAGAACACCATTCCCCAGTAGTGAAATTGCAGAACATGCTGTTTATATTGAGATCAAAAGGCTTGCACTCTGATAAATCAACCATAGGGAGAGTGACTCAGCAGACCCTGGAACCTAACATCACAGCACTTCAGGACATGGTTTAGTGGGCATGGTGGTGTTGGGTTGATGGTTGGTCTTGATGATCTTGGAGGTCTTTTCCAACCTTAACGATTCTATGATTCTATTATCAGCAGGATGGTGACAAGGTTGCAGCATATTACATACACCATTCCCCTTATCCTAACCCAAGAAGAGAATAGACTATGAACATATATTTTAAGCATGCACTCAAATGAGGAAAAACAGACAAGACAGCAATGTAGCCTAAGATCTATGGAGGCTAAAGACAGAAACATTTTGAGGCACAGAAAGAACCCATAACAATTTTGATCCTTAAAAGGCCTGAAAGATCTGTCCAAAAACTAGCTGCTCATCATCATTCAGGAGCCCTAGATATGTGAAGAGGACTGGATAGCAGTGTCCCTTTTTCTGTGAGTCCAGACAACTTGGACATATCTTGGTACCTGTGAGTGTGAGTGAATTAAACTTAGATGAAAATGAGTAGGTAAAAATCAGCTGACTGAATGACTCTGTAAACAAATAAATATCACCTTCCCCTTCCATAAGACCTAGCACTGAATTTTATTATTCTAACTTCCTAACACCAGGAGCTGAGGTATAAGCTTCATATTTGTGAATTATATCCAGTCCATATAAAGTTCTGATGGACAACATGACATTTAAATTCTGCAAAATCTCAGATTCAAAAAAAGAAAGGCAGTACATTGTTAGACCTTACATATGCTAAGAAGTAACCAATAAGGCAGCATAAATCACTGCACACATCTCCGGAGCAAAGAGGAAAAAGAAAGAAAAGATTTATAAATGGGGTATTTCAAAGGCATGTTAGATCCTCACACTTACCATTTAAGACTTGGGATTGTAAGTAAAATAAAATAGATATAATCTTTGTAGGGTTTTTTGGTTCAAAATACAAAATGAGGATGTGCCTAGGCTCCTTGTGCAAATATGATACCTCTGAGAAGGTATCAAAAGACTGTGTCAAGTACCAAGGTAGAAGGTGTACCAAGGCAGAAGGTATCAATAATTTTGCACAAAATTCTTTTGTTGCAAGTAGAGATATGTTCAGCTTATGCTTCTTTAGGGCAACACCAAAGCCACAGAAAATGTTTGAGATTTCTCTTTTCTTCCACAAATCTGTCTTGCAATAGGAATTGTCTTTAAGTATTCAAGTTTATCTATCAGCCTGTTAGAACAAAATCAAATAGAAAAACAACACAGAACTGTACCTCTTCTACTCAAATAATATATTTTTTCCTTTTAAAAAAATAAATTAAAAGGTAAAGACAAAACATCAGAGCCAAGAAAACTTGACCTAAATGGATTATTCCATTATGTATTTTGTTTAATAGTCTATGGATAATCAACTGGTAGCAATGATACCAATTAGTCTGACTGCTATGTGCACATCACTGATATTCTAATTACTTTGAATAAAAGTACCACTAGAATGACAGGTATAGCAAAAGAAAATAAACCCACCACAAGAGTGATGCTATATTACAGCTAAATCCCATATTTCTTTAATAGTGTATTTACGTATGTATTTATGTGGATTTATTTTACCTATTTCACACCCCTCATGACTTAGTTGGAACACTATATAGATTAGCAGAAAACCTAACTACAACTGAGCCAAAAAAGTCTGAGGAGTGGAAAAAACAATGCTAAAAGGAAGGGGGGGGGGGGGGAAAGAAAACCCAGAAAGGTCAGAATCAAGAGTTATATGTAGCTAGACAAATAAAGAGTTCTGAAATGATTCTCAGAAACTATCTGGAGGAAGTACTTTATAAGATGCATCAAACTAAAGGTCACAGCAAAGATGAAAAGGGCAACTTTCCCAGAAACCAGAAGAAGGAAAGTTCTGCTTTGGTACTCTTTTTGTTGTCTCAGTCTTTCCAGTACTAAAGTATGTAACAAGCCAAACACAATGCTTTTTGAAATTACCTTCTGAGGAGGACATAAAAGGCTTGCCTGCTCTTAATACCTACAATGTGTAGGTCAAGTCAGTAAAAGCATCGTTGACTCTGACCTGAGTCCTCTAGAGAACTGAGATGTAGCGTGTGAAGGCATCACCCTTCCTTAACTGACTTCTGTCAAGCAGGATACAATCTCGTCAGGAGAATCAGAAGAAAAATTCCTGACTAAGCCTCAGCTGTTCCAGCTCATATATCCAGTGGTTCAGCGCACGTGTACCTCTACTGTAACTTCTTAAATTTCTGCAAACAGATTCACTCAAAAGTGATCTAGCAGGGATACAACAAAGACAGTTTCTCATCGTTCCATCCTGGCCTGTGGCAGGAAAAACAGAATTAGGGGTTCTTGCTTTCCTCTCCCCACAAAACTTTTCAAGATAGGTTTACAAATGCTTTTTGTGTTGGAGATATCTTAGAAACCATACCAGTACATCTGTATCTGCACTTGGAAGCTTATTCGCTCAAAAAAACCCTCAAAAAAATCAAAACCAACCCCAACCAGCACCAAATTCCAGGAAATAAGTTTGTAGCTAATAAGCAGCACAAAAAAAATTAAAGGCTTTATAAAGTTGTATTTCTTTTTATCCTAAGAACTTAAGTCTCAGCCTATAATCCTAAACTTTAGTCCCAAATGTATTATCTTTCAAAATTCATTTAAACAGTATGTTTGAGCTCCATCAAATTTCTGCAAAGTTAGTATTTTTGTGGTATGTTTATTCTCAGTGACCAGGATTGTTTTCTTCCCAGGAGTTGCTAATTCTGGGCTTTATTATCACAATTGACAAAAAACACCCAAAGAATCCTGGTCATATGCCACATTTTTAATAAAAGTAGCAGGAGTAATTGCTTAGGAACAGAAAAAAGCAATAGAAAAAACTATTTCAGAACAACAATGTAAAATTGTCTTTTGAATAAATAATAGGTGAATATTTGTATTTGCTCACTTTTTTTTTTAAATGTATTGTGAAACCTAAATTTGTCAGATGAATCTATCTCATCAATGCATGTGTCAGTCTCAGAAGGCATCACTATTGACTCAAAGATGTTAGACTCTTCAGAGAGAATTTTGGCCTTAATCACATTAGACAACTCTTTTCACAGTCACTGCAATGACAGCTGCATTAATTTCCCTCATATACCAGACTCAAAGTCAGAAGCAAATTCTCAGTTTGCAAGCCAGAACATGTTCTTCTGGATATTTACAGCCAACCACTGAAATCCCCGAAACCCTTCAATGATGTCACACAGGACAGAAATAAATCATCTTGCTTGTTTTTCCTAAATGAACTTGCATTCATAAAAGAAACAGGAACAGAAACCTTGAAGAAAACTAATTCTCTTTCATTACATGCTCTATAAAAGCACTAAAACACTCAACTTTTCTTGGAAGAACCACTTCAAGGAAAGGAATCATATTCATGTCTCTGTCTTCGTGTTTTATCTCTCCACTTACATTGTCAGCAACAAAAACAAATTTTTCTTTTCATTCCAAAGCTTTTTTTTTTTTATAAATGAGAGACACATTGATAACAGCAGGATCTCTAAGGAGGTTCATCATGCCATTTCACATGCCACTAAGTAGAACTGTGTTTGTAAATGTCAGTCCCTAACACCAGGTGAAGGAACTCAAATTTAACCACCCTAAACAAGCATTACTTCAAAGTTACCTTACAGTAACCCACTTACCAGATGGTTTGCAGGACAAAACCAGGAACAAAATAAAAATGAGAAAACTATTTTCAGCCTCATTCTTTATAACTGAAGATTTTATTGACTGATAACAGTAAGGACAGGCATCAGATTTGGTAGGAAGCTGCTTTCAGAAAGTACTATTAAAAAAAATTGAGCTGTGTGACTTCAGAGAGGGAAAATAGGTTTCAGGAGAACTCAAGACTAAGTAATCCCTCTACGCTGCACGTTTTCAGGCAATGCTGTTCATACCATAAAGAGTATTTTTTCTGAATCTCCAACTGGCCAAAAAAATAAGAAGTAGGGCTTTAAAGGAATGAATAAAATAAGAATACTTACGCTGACCCCACCGGCCCGTTCTTGGATTCAAATAATTTGGATAAAGTCCATTAGGACGATCCATTTTTTGAAGTAACTTCCGAATGTGCATGACCTAAATTAAATCAAGAATCAGGATCACCACTAACAATATATATCTGCTCTCTGCACATAGTTTAATTTTTTTTTTTACTAGTAAATTTTCTTAATCTGAATCCAGAGGGCTTTCTTGAGGGCTTCCCACAGATTAGTACATTCTTGCTTTTAAAGGACTACTCACATAAACATGTTTAAAAATTATGGTTTTTAAATGTATGCTGAAACAAATAAGAAAATTTGCGTTGTCATCAATTTGTACTTGAAAAAGTCACCTATTTGGTAACAGAAATACACATATGAAACAATTTACCTGCTATCAAGAACACAAATAGAATGCAATATAGAAAATACTTCCCCTTTAATGCAATTTATGATGAAACAGTATAAAAAGACACTTATATGATAAAAAACTGAATTTGAGACTCACCTTGTTGTAGTATACAGGGTCCCCTGTCAAATAGCTGAGGTGGACAAATTCCATGTGTAGAGTACCAAATTCAGCGAGGATGCTGCTGCCAGCAGAAGCCCAGCCCCAGTTTCGACCCACACCACTGAATTCCAACAAATATGCATAAAAAAGGGAGAAAATAACAAAAAAATAAGAATTACTGCACATAGCACTAGTAACGACCACAGCAAATTAAACAAGTAGCAGCAAAATATTAACCCACAATATTTAGAGGAATTGTGGTCTGATTGATTGATTAGTTGGTTCATTGGTTGGGTCTTCTTAATCTCATCAACAAAAAGTCCTGTGATTAAAACATATAATATCCTGATGTCACAGAAATGTAATGTCCTAACACTGGGTGCAATCTCAAATGTTTATTCACTGCTTGTTCCTAGGAACAAGAATCAAAAGCAATTATCAGACAAGAGGAGTTTACTTATGAAGGTGGCAGCATTCAAGTCAGTATTAGACATTTAGTATTAGTATTAGAGCAGGATGGGAGTGGGTGCTACCTGTGTCTACATAGGAAAATAGTACCTTTACTCTAGACAGAATAGTACCGGTTCCTCAGACTCACCAAGAATCAACAGAATTGATACACACACCTTTTGCACTCTAAGAGATACCATCTTGTTAACTTGTAACTGTTTACCTCTAGTTTAATCTAACTCAGGAGTTTTCACTACCCTCTAGGAATGGGTCTTTTAATTTCTGAAGGTAACTACACTTTCCTGGAGATGACTTCTACTGCTTCTCATAAAAAACAAACAAACAAACAAAAAAAAACCAGTTATCAGTAAGACTATAATCAATTAGAAATGTCTTCTTACTTATTTCTTGAACTATAAGTTAGAAAGAGGAAATGTAAAGAAAAAATGTTGGTTATAGAGCAGCATTTGTAGCTCTGACCTGAGAGAAAACACCTTTTAAAATACAGTAACCACTGTTTACAGATTGTAGAGAGAGAAAATCATAGCTTGTCTCAGGGTTTTTTTGGTACAGCTCTCATAAAAAGAGAAAATTAAGGGTTTTATTATAAATACAAACGCTAATAAAACACAAGTCGATAATTTTCCAAATATTTCTTTTGTCCTCTACTGCATGTCAGCCTCATGATAAGTGTTCTCATATGCACCTGCTACTGTCACTGTCCCCTGGCATGCCAGCCACTCTTATTTTCTGCTGTGACGCCGGCGGGTTCTGTACATAACCAAGTGACTGACACAGTAAATGCATGACCAACTGTTGCATGCAGGATGTTTCTGGCACTCCAATCCTTTCCCCTCCACTTACTGCAAATCCTCCTCCCTGGCCGTGCTCTGATGCCCAGCCTATGCAATTGGCCCCTGTGTTTTATTGATAAGTATCTGTGCTTATAGAGTAAGGGTTACCCTGCCCAGGTAACTACTGCTTGCAGCTTCTTAAACCTTGCCATCTATATTGTTCGAGCCAGTGAACCAGATGTCTGTGCTACCTACGGAGTACGGCCACTTGAGCCATTCAGACATGTTGGAACCACGGTGCAGGCTTGGGTTAAACAAAGCAAAAATAAAGAACTTATGCACAGAGGAATTTCAAGCTGTATGAAATTCCAGAAAAAAAATGAGTAAACCATAATGCTGTGCAGAAAGTACATAAGGAAATTCAACCCAACAATAGTAGCTGTACAGGGATCCAGTAAATGGCCTCGGAGGAGATAGTGAAGCACAGGCAAAGCAGAGAAAATCAGACAAGGGTGATGAAGTCCTTCATCAACAGAAGGGCAAACCACAGCTCCATGGTCTTCATCCAAGGAGTGACAGCAAAGTGAGGATTGTTTCCTGATCACAAAAAGGCACATAATGCTAATACTCTCAAAGTAGTCCTTCACAGACTAACAAAGCAGAACAAATATCTCTCCTAAAAGGAAAACAATTTAAAACAATTAAAAAACTCTCTGCTATTTAATCTCCCAAACTGCTTGAACATACATGCAATCTAGACATGCCTCCCAACTCAGCTACTGGTTAAGAATTTAACAAAAATTTAAAAAATGCCTTGTATCAAAAATGCTCTCTCAAAATCTGAGGGAAATCCCAGCATTGAATAAGCAATACAAGATAAATTAGACAAAGCAATTCTCTTCCACAAGACAATGCAGACCATCTAAGATCTGTGTTTGACTGAACAGACATCTAGAAGAGTCTCTCCAACTCCAATGACCACAGTGGATTTCAGCACACTAGCCTTTATACCTAAGTAAAATGAATTAATCTTTTCAGAGTCCCATCACTTTCTCACCCATCGTGAGCCTTCTGAAGGTAACATACAGCTCACACAGTCTATAAAACCCAGTCAGCTCAATCACGGTGTGCAAACAATTTTCTTTAATAACGAAAGAACCAATGATTAAGCTCTATGGCAACACATGACAGAATACACTGGGTATGTTCCAATGGCATGTTGAATTCTTATTGTAGAATTAAGGAAAAAAACATCGTGGTCACAATTCATTGCAGTTAATCAGGTATAATACTCTGAACACTATTAAATTATTCTAAAGTGCCAGGAAT